GGAAAATGCTTTTAACAAATGATCATCAGGGTTATTGGTGTTGTCTCGTGAAATATTTCCGTGGGTTTTATGAGCAGCAATGACAGGAATGTTTAAGAACTGGGGGGGGGGGGAGATACTTGTGGGCGGAGCTTCTGGGGTCAGATGTCAGTGACTAAGCCGCACAATTCAGGATTCCTTGAACTAATTAAGTAAAAACTGGGTGTTTCCCCCCGTTTTATGGATCTGGCTTTGTGGGAAAACTTCAAAATAAAACCAGGATGTGGTTTTTCCAATAAATAACGTCCCGTCCTTCAGTCCTCGCCGCTGACGAGCAGCTTTTGTGCTTTTTCCTCATTTTACAGTCTTGTTTGTTTGTTTTTTGCCGGATTTTTTTTTCTTTCCACAGTAAAGAAATGCGAGTTATTTCATTGACATGTGAATCGTGTTACTGTGGTCATAGATGACTACTTAACAATCTGCCATTTCCACTGAGTCACGACCCGACAACTGTGTTTCATTTAGCCAAAATGAGTCAAAACGTGTCTCAGCGGCGGCCGTGGGAAGCGTCAACATATTAGTTACTCAACACGTTTGAGCAAAGTGCTGAATATTGACGGCGGCGGCTGATTGTGTTCGTCGTTCTTGTGCTGTCACACGTCAGGATGAGAGGAAGCGAGCTGGGAGAGGACCAGGACCAGGACCAGGAGACGACCAGGGGACGACCAGGGGAGGACCAGGAGACGACCAGGGGAGGACCAGGAGACCAGGGGAGGACCAGGTGACGACCAGGTGACGACCAGGAGACGACCAGGGGACGGAAACATCTGAAGCAGGTTGCACCACCATGTTTACGCTGATGCAACAAACTTTTTATGAAGTGAATTGAACACAAAATGTGCCGATGGTTGAAGGAAGTAATCTGATAAACGTTCATTATTCTTATTTTTTTTAACGAGAGCCGATGACTCAAATGTACACGTTGAATCCATAATAAAAGTTAATCCGTGCGCACAAATGTAGCTCATTTCCCAGAAATCAGTTAGTCAGTTTTCCAGATGTATAACTGACTCGCTCTGTCCTGACACACACACGCATGCACAAACACACACACACACACGCACGCACGCACACAAAAATTCCCCAGAGAAGTCTGTACCAAATCAGATCTAACACACACACAATAATCCCCAAAGCACGGAGCTACGCATCTTTTTCATCCTAATCAATAATTACATTACATCAACTTACAAAATAATGGCCTCCAAATTAATTTAACTTTATAAAAAGAGTGAAATAATGAAGGGATTCAATTACAATTATTATGATTTATTTTAACTAAGGGAAGCAGCACAGGAGAGAAAAAGAACAAAGTGACAGAAATAAACAAAGGAAGAAAACAGCATTTTTGTTCTAACCCTGAAAAAAAGGCAATGAAAGAGAATAAGTGAGAGACACACACACACACACACACACACAGTTGGTGTTTCTATAACCTTTGACCCCTCAGGCCCATCAATAACCAGGAGGCGAGGAGAAGTGTGTGTGCTGTCTCATTCGTCTTCATTAGACACTGTGTGTGTGTGTGTGTGTGTGTGTGTGCGCCCGATGTCTTGCACACATAGTCGAAGTGAATACACACACGTGAGATTTATTAAGCGTTCGATAAAGTAATAAAACAAAGTTTTGCCATCTTTTCTTTCTCTCTGCATCTTATCAGCATTTCATCCATCTTTTGTTTGTTGAACATTTGAACATGTGACTCGTCTCTTCTTTCGCCGCCTCCTCGTTGGTATTCTGTTTGGAGGAAGTTTATTCTCGCGGGTTTTAGGGCGACTTCCTGCTTCTATTTAAAGCTCTCGGTATCGTCCCGGATCGCTGGAACAATTTATCAAAATATGACACACACACACCTGTCAGAAAGAGATGAGCAGAGGTTTGTGTAGCGGTGTGTGTGTGTGTGTGTGTGTGGTCCTCCCTCTGTGACACAGATGACCTCTCACAACCCCGAGACGACAGTGGACGACCTTTCACCTCTGCAGGTCACAGTGACACCGGAGGGGCAAAATAAAACCCAGCGTAAGTGTTTTGCTGTAAGAAATGACTTTGATGACCAACGTGAGAATCCTGCAGCCTCGTCTGAATAATCAGCTCGTGAATGCAATAGAATTAAAACTGGAAATGTACAACGGTACAAAAAGCTCTGAAAAAGAGAGCGGGAGGTTTTTGGGAGGCATCCCTAATCTTTGAGCGCTCCATCGCTCCTCTATAGACTGCTGGGAACGAACACACACACACACACACACACACACACATGGTGGAGGAAACCTGGAGCATGCAGAGAGTTTGTGTTGCTTTGGATTCGAGTCGCTGCCCTTCAGTGAACACACTCCCACCTGCAGCGCCGACACACACACACACACACACACGCACACCTCGTTAATCACATCGCTCACGCCGGACACTCCCTCTGTCTGACGGGTCAAAGGTCACGGAGTAGGCCGTGTGGGAGAGAGCCGGGGACTTTCAGTTGCTACATCTTGATTTACTGTTGACAGCGTGTCAGTCACGTGTCGTCTTTCTGCAGGTGGCGAGTCGATGCCGCTAAAAAAAAAAGAATTAAGTGTGAATAAATGTTAAATATATCTCTATAAAGGAAATAAACATTTTTAGCTCCAACGGACGCAGTGAAATCACATTTTAAGCCAGAAGGCTTCCCAGTTGATATCTAGTACCTGCAGCTGGCTCCATTATCTAAACATGATTTCTATCAATCGGTAACTTGGAGAAAATAACTCAGTCAAGACAAAATATTATACAGATTTTATTTTATTTCTGTTGTAATGTTTTCCTGCAACTTAATTAGTATTTTCGTTTTATTCATTAGTGGTTTAATACATCAGCGTGTACAGTAATCCTGTCAAAATAAAGTAGCAGCACTGCCTGCAGGGAGAGGACTCAATCTACAATGGGTTATTCCATTAATAGTTTTAGTTTATAATTTAATTGGTTAGTTTTCAAGACATTTCACGTTGTACATTATGACATATGCTGATCATCATCCAGAGTCTAAAATAATTATACTTGAATTAAAAGCAAACAGCGTAAAGTGACAAATAGATCCGACCCCCAAAAGATGCAGTTGAAAGCTCTAGAAAAAAAGACTTAAAGACTTTAGTTTGTGTCCAAACACCACAGTGCTGCTTCAGAAACACAGCAAAGGCACGTTCAGAAAAGTTCCCTTAATACCTAAAACTGATACAAAACAAAACACAAAGACTTGTGTTCCCTTCAGACTCGCGCTGCGGGTTTGAATCCCTTTTTATAAACTGCTTTTATTGCACCAAAATTCAAGAGAAAAAACAAAGAAGCCAATATGAGCTCAGAAAAAGTAATTAATGTAATCGTGTGTGTGTGTGTGTGTGTGTGTGTGTGTGTGTGTGTGTGTGTGTGTGTGTGTGTGTGTGTGTGTGTGTGTGTGTGTGTGTGTGTGTGTGTGTGTGTGTGTGCGTGTGTGAGTGTCTGAAGTGAGATTGACGATGCATGGGCTGCGTTTGAGATTATATGGGTGACGACGCGGCCAAACATGCGTAAAGCTATACTCACGACACTGTATGCAGAGGGAGACAGGTTGCTAC